ACTTCTCCCGCCGTGGCCCCCAGACCAAGGGGGGAAAAGGGGCCCAAGAGTTGTTCTACGGGCTCCCCTCGTCCGTGAAGGACTGGAAGGAGGACTTCTTCTTTGTCAGGTCCACACATTTTCCCCCCAATGTGTGGAAGGTTGGGGGAGTCAAGGCCGACCCCTACCCGGAGGACCTGGACTACGAGACCCTCGGCCAGCTGTTGGGTTCCAAGGTGAAGCTCGATGTCACCAAGATCTCCACTGAGCAGATCTCCGCAGCCGGGCTGATGGGGACGGTGTCCGGATCCTCTGGGGAGGTGGCTACCCCCCAGCCCAAACTCGACACCTGTAACGCTGGCCTTGCCCCTGTCGCATTTGTAGTATAGAGTTTTCCTTTTTTACCCTTAACTGTCTTGCGTTTGGCTGATCTGGTGGTGTTCATTGCAGTGAGAAAACTCTCCCAGCTGCTGGGCGCACCCCTCGAGGAGGTCACTCCCGACTCCCAGCCCGGAGCTGCTCGGGGGGACCCAGGTGGGGCTTCCACCCCGGGGGGCGGCTCAGCCCCCCAGAAGGAGACATCACAACCATCCCCCTCCAAGCAGGCAGCCAGCAAAAAGAAGGCGGCCGGACAGAAGAGGGGCAGAGGGGACGAGCCCTCTCAGGCTGGGCAGAAGAGGCTCGCCCTGGTCTCCGCACAGCCTCCTCCTCTTGCGCGGGTCTCCGGGGGACCAGTCCACCTGGGCGTGGGCTCTGCCGAGGAGCAGGTCCAAGAATCGACTCCCCCGAGCTTGTGGCACTTCCGCCACATAGCTCCCCTGAAGCCAGGCCAAGCCCCCACGATGCATGACCCCCGCCACTTCTGTCCGTCCTGGAAACTCTCCATCAACGACCGAGCCCAGTTCCCCGAGGTGGCTCGCGAGCTGATGGTGGGCTCGGTCCTTCCTAGGGACAGGAAGTGGATGGAGCTGGCCAGCCCCTCCGAGCTCTTGGACGCGTACTACACCGCCCAGGCCCAAGTAAGTATCGCCCATGGGTTAATTTCACCCCCGTGTCTGGGTTAAGTGATGTGGCATGCTGATCTGTTTTCTCTCTTTTCCAGTCCAACGCTGCCGGTGCCGCCCTGGCTACCCGCTTCTCCGAGCTGTCTCCCGACCTGGAGAAGTTGCGGAAGAAGAACCTGGAGGCGGAGAGGAAGCTTTCCCAGGCCCTCCAGGAGGCCAGCTCCCTTAAGGCCAAATTAGACAAGGCCGAGAAGGAGCTGGACGCCGCCCAGGTCCAGCTCGCCTCCACCAGGTCGGAGCTCGACCAGGAGAGGGCTGGTGTGGCCAGGCTGAAGGAGGAGCATGCCGTAGAGCTCTCCGGCACCGTCAGCCGAGAGCGGAAGAAGGCTGTTCGGGAGTTTATCTCCTCCGATCAGTTCGAGGTGGACATCGCCCTCCTCAACCAGCCTATCCTCGGCCGCAGGGTCGTAGTCCTTGAAGTCCGCCACGTTGAAGCCGGGTAGGTTGAGGCCCTGCACCTAGGTCAGGGCCTTTTTTGAAGAAGCTCGGAAGCTTCCCCCGTGGAGGTCAATTGTGTATTTGTCCGCCCAAGTGGTACCAGGACTTCAACCCCAAGACCCTTATACACAAGGACCAGGGTTCGAATCCTGGGGAGGCCCCCCCTCCACGCACCTGATGCTGGGGCGGACAAATACACAATTGACCTCCACGGGGGAAGCTTCCGAGCTTCTTCACGGGGCTAACAAATTGGGCAGAAGCATACATTGCTCCACTAGATTGTTTTGAATTTGTTCTTTTTGAGGCAAAAGGCAACTTCAATATTCTTTTGTCCTATAAGAACAACAATTGTGGGGGTAACAAATTGGCTAGAAGCATTCTTTGCTTCATGAGATTATTATTGAGTTTGTTCTTTTTGAGGATTGCGATTCTTTACTTGTACCATTAAAGTAGTTATGGGCCATCATTCCTTCACAAAGTAAAAGTGACAAGGAAAAGATAGAAGTCAGGATTACATTCCAAAGGCCATAGGACAGAATGTTATAGCTACAGAGCAAAAATGGGATTCCAACTTTCGGTTACACTACAAAGTATCTTCTCTCTATATAGCAAAGGATTTTCTATTGTACAAGTCTATGTCATGTTATACCTCAGGTTGGTGTAAGTTGTTGAATATTTGGTGTGTCTTTCCACTGGGTTAGTGCATATCAAGACTTACACCAATAAAATACAATTTTTGTGTAAGCCTCGTGTACACTAACTTGGTTAAAAAAATACACCAGATATTGAACAATTGGCGCTGACCAAAGAGTGTAACAGGTAAGTATATAATAGAAGATCTTTTGCCTTCTCTCCCCTGTAAAAGTTTGTTAATTCTCGTTATAGTTTCTCAACTATTTAATAAAAATTTTGTTAGGTAATAAAACATCTAAGTCAACTACTATATTATTAATGAATAATTGAGTCTTGATGAGGATCTGAATTTGGATTGTAAAAAGTCAAACCCTGACCAAACCTATAATTCTCATATAGAGTTTGAGGATGAATATGGTTTCGGTTTAAATTTAAGACCCAAAAAAAGGGATTGGTTAAATTGGGTTTGTGTAAGATAGATTTATTGACATGCCTAACATATCTAAACTATACTTAAACAAATTTTTCCTTGAGGGTTGGACAAAAGAGGTTTGGGACAGGCGAAGTTGTGGTTTCATCCAATTTTGTACTATTATCATATTTACTATATTATTAGGTGTATGGTCATATTATATTTATTTGTAAAATAGTAGGTATATAATATATATGACTAAAATATTTTACGTATATTCTATACAACAAGTTTGATGCAAGATGGAATGAAAAATTTTAGTTTGAGGGAGCGAAATATATATGCATATAAACTTTTGAATCAACCTAACATATTTTTTGAAAATTTTTGGTTGAGGTAAGCAAATAGCTTAAAATGCACAGGAGTTTTTCAAAATTTTCAAAATTTTAAGGGAAAAAAAATGAATATCAAGAACTTAAGAAAGGAGAAAGGGGGAGAATATGGTCCTTCATGCCCTTCCATAGTTCCGTCCTTGGATTGATGTAAATTTAATATTATAGTGACAACAAGTAGGCAAAACCAGACATAATATAACGGTACCTTCTCCAGATTCAAACAAGTGTACTGGTATATATGTGTACATGACGAATGCAAGAGGGGTAGGGAGGCATAGTTGTTAGGATAGCGATTCGGACCAAAGGATCGTACGATTCTACGATCCGGATTAAGGTTAACGATCCAAATTGTAAGTAGGATCGAAAATTAGTCTTAAATTAAAAAAATCAATTGGATCACGATCCTAATCGTAGGATTGTACATAAGATCGTACGATTCTGCGATCCTGATACGATCATACTATTTTTAATTAATTAAGTAACAATTTTAGTATTTTGAACATATCTTTGTGTACAAAAGTCCAAACTGAGTGTCGTTTGTTGCGTTGTAAACTATATTCAAAGTACTTTAAATCCATGTAAATAACTAACCCCAATTCTAAACCTAGAAAATTTATTTTTATTTTAGTACTTTGACTCATATAATTCACTAAAGTGAATAGATTATCTCTGTCATAGGTTGTCACATGGAGCTAGTGTTTTGTGTCTTTATTTTAATAAATTAATATGGTTTAGAGTCTTTATAAATGAATTAATACTTTTGCTAATTCTAAGTGGATAAGTGGTGGGTTATAAATTTGAACCCAAAGTACACATTTTTTAGCACAAAATTCTATTCTCAAAATTTTCTTTAATTATTTGTTTATTGTATACCAATTTTTCTATCAATTAAAATATATTTGAAACATTTTATTATATATGTAATATTTAATTATCCTATTATATAAAAATGATGTAAAAATCAATCACTAAATCATAGTTAACTAAATGTATTGTGTTTAACTATTTTATTAATAAGATAATTTATACACATATAAAGTCAACTTTTCCATGTATATTGTTCCATAATTGAATTTGGATTTACAACAAGAAAGAACAAGTTGTTTAGTTTAATCAAAATACATTTTGAATATATTATAAGTAGTCCCAAATTTCTCTATATTTTTCAAATTGTCCGAAATACTTTATATAGCACAATTTTAACCTTATAATTATATTGATTGCACATGAATTACATTATTTGTTACTATATTTATGAATTGCAAAATTAAATATTATAAATATGACAATTTATTACATTTTTTGTAGGATCTACCGATTCTACGATCCGATCTTGCCAACCAAAAAATGATTCTAGGTAGGATCCCGATTTTGAAAACCTTGGGCGCAAGTGCCCTCTTAAGATTTTAGAAATTCTTTTATATCCCTTAAAAAATTTATTGATATTTCACATATATCCTTGTAAAAATTAGAATTTTCCCTCCCAAGGTTTTAAAGTCCTTTTATACTCCCTTAACATACTAAAAGTTTTCACTTGTATCAATGTAAGTACCCAAATTTTTTTGTACAAAAGTATAAGAGTGCCCCTTAAGCAAATATATTTATAAATTTTGCCACCCAAATTCCAAGCTTTGGCTCCTCCCGTGTATGTGTGTATATATTAGACATAATTATATTGAACAATGAACATAACAAGTTAGATCTTGTTTTTCACATGTTAAAGCGAAGTTCACCTTTTGCATCTTCAATATTCTTTCGTGAAATGAGATCGAGTCATCGATGGGCTAACGAATTTCCAGAAGCACTCTTTATTATACCATAATTGTTTTGAATTTTGCTTTTTCAGGCTTTGATTCTTGACTTGTCCCCATAATATTACTCGTCCAAGTGTGTAACTTTATTTCCTTTAGAACAGTAAAAGAAAGTGACGGGGAAAGAATAAAAGTGATGGTTATCATTCTAAGGGGTATGGTATAGTGTAATAACTACTCATCAAAAATGGGATTTCCATTTCCAGCTGCATTAGCAAGGTATCAAATCCATTCCCTATAAATTTGCCTTGATGTTGATTGTAGTTTCTCAACTTTCCCACTCATGAATTCTTCGTCCCTCATTTTACCTATTCACGACTTCACTTATATCTCTTAACAATTATCTGTTGAGATCATCATCCTGATTTTCAATCAATCCAACAAAAAGAGGTATGTGCTTATATTTTTTAATCTCTCTTTCGGTTCAACACCTAAGTATGTTTTTTTTTGTGGTTGCATAACCACAAATCATAATCATAATTCTGCATAATTTGTCATAATGTCCATGCATTGTTTAAGTAGAAGTACGAGAACAAGAAAACACGGCTATGGCCTTCTTCTACCACCAGGATTAAATGGTAAGTTTTCCAACTAAGTATTAATTTTAGCTGTAAAGGTAATAAGTTTTGTTATGATGGTGGTAAGACATAACATTATAACCAAAAAAGTACTATGTTTATAACTAATGATAGTTTACTTAACTACACCCACCGCTTATATAACAAAATTAAACAAATATTGTTCTACTCCAAACCAATGATGCCGATTATAATAAAAAATAAAAATACCCACATTGATCCATAAAACAATAATAACCAACAAGTACATGAGTTGTTATAACACATATCTAATTGATGAGCTATGAGAAGATCCAGATAAGAATATGAGTAAAGTAAATAATAATAATAATAATAATAATAATAACTCACAAGCATATGTATACCGACCTATAATATAATAATAACCAACAAGTACATGCATTGTTATGAATCTAATTGATCAACTAGCCATGACAAGCTCCTTGGATAAGAATATGAATAGGGGGAAACATATATATAATTCATATGTTAGTATTCACACGAGGTCAACTTTCAAGTGCTTGCTTTGGGACTTTTTAATAATTTGAAAGAGTTATTTTATTCTTTTATGGAACAATGAACTACTTGGTACATAGACATTTTAGTAAATTCATTTTTTGACCCTATGTGTAGGAAAAAAAACAAAGTGCTGATAGCTATTAACAATACATGTTAAGCCCTTGAGATGATTTCTTTTAAATTTGGTAAATAATTAAGAAGGCCACTAAATTTCTAAATTCCTATAAACGAATTTTATCCTCAAATATAGTGGTCCCTTTTTATAGTGAATTCTTGACTTCACTCCCTTGTATCTTCTTCTTCCTTCGACTCTCCTTCAATGTCATTGATCTGCTTTTTCATCATTCTGGCTATGAAATTGAAAAAAATAAAAATAAAAAAGAATAAGTTCTCCTTAACCATAAAGACTAATCATTAATTGTCATACCCACTCACTTTCTTCTCGGTTTTTGTCTTTTATCAAGTTTTCATCTCTATTTTCTAGTTTCCCAACTTCCACCAGGCTTCAAATTTTATTTTTAAAACAAAATTGCAATCTTTTATTCTAAAAGATATGGTTTAAAGTTTAAACTCACAATGTTGGATACCCAAAGAATGTTTAAGTTCAAGTTCTTTGAAAATATTAAAATTTTTATCAAGTAAAGTCTTAAATTAGTCTATTGGATATCTTATTCTATGCACATATATGTATATAATTTATTTTTAAAAAAATCAGTGAATCGGGGTTAAACTGTGACCCGAATATATAGCCGGTTCAATTAAAGGCCAGAGTTTCAAAACACTAGTCTTTACATTCCATTCGATTCGTGATGTCTACTTTGTTATTCTTCAATTGGTATGGTTATTGTGCTTGGTTTGTCACGGCATGAATAATATCTTCAAGTAAGATTTTAGTGTTTTTTCATTAAAAAAATGTTTTTTAGCTACTGTGCTAATTTTGTACTTCATATTTTGCCTTTTGTTTTTCACGTTTAATTTTTGCATGCAAACTACTACTACATATTTTTGTATGTTAATAATATATTGGAAGGAATTATTAGGTATATGAGGAGCTGATTTTGGCTTTGCGTAGTTTAGGATTTAAGTTTTGTTTGTGAACAAAAACTTGGACAATTGAGGGTGCATAAAGAAAGGAAATTTGGAGAAATTGCACTTGCAATTTCTGGAGTTTACATGGGGTTGAAGCTTTTAAAAAGACAAAAGGACTTACTACAAAAATCACTATTATCTCATAATTATTTTAAAAAAACTATAATGTACCAAATACCTATGCCTATATATAACAATACTTTACGTAAGTACAAGGATCATATGCCTCCAAAATCTTCTAAATTTGGTGATAGTCACCGCGAGAATTGTGCAATCAAATTTTCCTATCTAACTCATTCGAAAATAATGTGTTCCAAGAAGTTGAAGCAATTGTGTTCCAAAAAGTTGGATGCACCAAATCTTAAGAAAGTTGAAATAGTAGAGAATGAAGCCATCCTTGTGGATTTAAAGGTACACATATCCTAATTCTTTTAATTTCAACTTTTAATTTTGTGTCTCACTTCACAATATTTTAGTTTCCCAAGAGTTGAGATATTAATTATCTCTGAGTATGTATTTCACAGGAAGCAGAGATAATCTTTTTGAGGCATTCAATTCTATGATTGGTACAAAAAGAAGAGGCAAATAGAGTTGTCTGGATGTTAAGGTACACAAACGTCATAGGCTTGCAAACTCTATTGTTCTGTTTCTTTTAGCTTAATCTCATATATCTTTACTTTTATTTTTCTTTTGGGAAGATAGATGGTGATTTTAATTTTCAATATGTATTATGTATACTTTTTATTGATATGGACGAATTAGTGCTATACTCGCATGACAATTGAATTTGGTTTGACTTGCTCAAATGATTAGGACCCGAATAGGTTTTTATCTAATATAAATACCTTTTAAAATTTTTTTTTTTTGTTTACTTAAGTGAAGCGTTCGAAGTTGAGATCGCTAACTTACACTTTTTTTCCTCTGATCTAATAGACACACTTAAGTATACTCACTTTCAATCAACTTTAGTGTGATTAACATTTGTGCTATCTTCAAATTTTCTATATTTAAAGCATAAGGAGGGGATTTGGTATTAAATTTCATGTCATCTCTTAGATTTTCAATTTTACCCTTACAAAAGTAAAGATTTACTAAAGATAACTAGTTTAAGTTTAGTAAGTTTTAATAACTTCCACTTCTAGTAACTTCTATTTTTTTGGTTTGTTTGCCTATAAAAAATCATAACTTCTTTTTTTATTTGTCAACAAAAAATTCAAATACCTTTTGTTGGTTTTGACAAAAACAACTAATTTTTATCGTAATTTGTACACCCATAGGATGTGCTTTTCTCACTAATACAAATAAAAGTAAAGTTTCTTGAGTAGTCTTTAGATTTGTGATATACATTGATGAAGAACTTATTCATTGTTTTACGAAACGCCGCTACAATTGATTGGTGGTTTCTACAATGTACACGTTTTAATTTGATTAAATTTTGATTAAAAGAAGTCACTGTTCATTTTTTTTTCCCTTCAAACAAAGAAGTCAATTAGACTTCCATGTCTAATCTCCTTTTGGGATTTCTAAATTCTACAGTTGTAATGGTTCTACTAGTAGTAGTTTTCCGATTTGACGTTTTCGGTCATTGCCTTATGTCAAGTCAAGGATTTTCTTATCTTCAGATTCCAAAATTTCTGAATTGTTTCATGTTCAGCATAATTTTTATTAACATCAAAATTATCATGAATTAATAATGATTACTCATCGGACTTGAAATGATTGCAAGTTATTTCAAATTTAAACATGTAGAGAAAATATACAAAGGTTTTGAGACTTTTCGTCTATTTGAGTTTAATAATCCTGCTAAAGCAATGTATATGTCTTTTGAGTTTTCTTTCATATACATTGACATACTTTATAGAGACCAACATACTGGGTTAAAGCGGAATGTATATTGACGATATTTCACCAGTTGTTGGACATATGAAAACTTATACTTTTTGTCAAACAAGTGAAAATGTAATATATTTCTGCACCAAACTGTACCTCTTGTATTTTCCAAAATAGTTCTAAAAAAATCTAAAACAATCTATGCGAATATATTTGTTGGTGAGAACAGTTTATAAGCTATGTAAACAATTCATTAAATTCAATTCAATGCCTAACATTTTTTTCCTTCTTTGTACCTCTACTGTTACGAAATTATTATTACCTTATTTATGTATCCATGAATCTTTTTCATATTTTTCATGCAATTTATTAGATTCCTTTCTCTATATCTTTCAAATAACACAATAATAGAAAATTGAACAGAATTTTGCTATAATGGCCATCCAAGATATTGCCCTTTCAATTGTGGGAAAAATTGCAGAGAAGTGTGTCGATCCAATTTTGCGCCAATTTCAGTACTTAATTTTCTACAAAAGCAACGTTCAAACTCTGAGCGATGACATCAAAATACTTGAGCTAAAGGAAGCTGAGGTGCAACAATTGGTACGTCAAGCAAAAGACAATGCTGAAGAAATTAAACCAACTGTTGTTGATTGGCTGAAACGAGTTGAGGATGTCAAGAAAGATGCGCACACTATTTCTGAGGGTATGGAGACTGCTAAGGTGAATTGCTTGAATATTGTCAGGCTTCCGAATTTGAAGTCATGCTATTTGCTAGGCCGACGTGCGGTGAAAAGAAAGAGTGCTCTTGAAAAGCTTTTAGGAGAGGGGAATTTTGATAAAGTTGGAAGCATTGCTCCATTAGGCAAAATGCGTTTTAGTGAATCAACCCCATCCTTAGAGGAAGGCTTAGTTTCTAGGATGTCAACAAAGAAGGAAGTGATGGAAGCTTTAAAGCAGGAGAAAACTAGCCTAATGGCGATTTGTGGTATGGGCGGCATAGGCAAGACTACTCTAGTCAAACAAATTGCTGACCAGGTTAAGTTCGAGAAATTGTTTGATGAAGTCGCCATGGCAATCGTGTCTCAAAGTCTAGACATGAGAATTGTCCAAGATCAACTTGCTGAGCAGTTAGGGCTGAAGATAACAGAGCAAACTGATCGTGCCAGAGCTGAAAGATTGTGTACGATACTAACTGGTCGTGACAAGAGAATTCTTGTTATATTGGATGACATTTGGAAAGAAGTTGGTTTTGAGAGTCTAGGAATTCCCGTCAAAGGTGAATGCAAGAGCTTAAAAGTTATACTGACATCTCGATCCTCAGATGTTTGTAGGGGCATGGGAGCTGAAATTTTTGAGGTGCATGCCTTGCGTAAAGAAGAAGCATGGCATCTTTTTAAAGAGGTTGCAGAAATTTCTGATGATTCTGCTTTGAGTGGTGTTGCAAAGCAAGTTGCAGAGGAATGCAAAGGTCTACCTCTTGCAATCGTTGTTGTTGCCCGGGCATTAAAGGGCAATCATACTCCAGAATCCTGGGATCGTGCCCTTCGGCAACTAAAAGAGTACACAATTAGAGAACTAGAAGGAGATGAAGATTTAGTGTTTTCAAGAATTAAGTTTAGCTATGACTATTTAAAAAGCGCTGAAGCTAAGTCATTACTTTTGCTTTGCAGTTTGTTTCCAGAGGATTATAGTATTCCAATCGAATGTTTGGTTAGGTATGGTAAAGGGCTAGAATTGTTCCCAGATAGACGGAGGTTAGTAGATGTAAGAGACAAGGTAGACACGCTTATTGGTCACCTGAAAAGCTCCTATTTGTTGCTAAATGATGCTAAAAAAGAAGACTCTGTAAAACTGCACGATGTCGTGCGAGATGTGTGCTTGTCAATTGCATCAAAAGACGAGCATGAGTTCTTAGTGAGCAATTCTGGAGTGGGAGAAAAGAATTCTTACACTGCAATTTCGATAATATCGCAAGATTGCAATCATGATCTACTTCCATTTTGCAAGGAATATCCAAGGCTTAGGCTGTTGTGTTTGGTATTCCGATTTGGGAAATTGAACCTACCAAGAGACTCTTTTGTAGGAATGGAAACTCTCAGGGTCATGGAACTAAACCACTCGCAAATTGAATTTCCACTATCATGGCCTGGCCAAATGCTAAGGAGCCTTCGGACACTGTGCCTGGATGATTGTGTATTGGGCACTGGATTGTCGTCAATGCTTGGACACATGACGCAGCTGGAAACTTTGAGCCTCTTTGAATCCAAAATTCTGGATGATCAGTTTCCAGCTGAAATCGGTCAGTTGAGTAATTTAAAGTTGTTGGATTTGAGGGTCAAAAGTAGCCTCCATCCCTTGCCTAGTGGTATCTTGTCAAGCTTGAAGAAACTAGAAGAATTGTATTTGGGATCTGGTGATCATTTGCGGCTAGGGAGAGATAAAGAAGAGGAAAAAAGATGCCTTAAAGAGATCTCATCAATCTCTAATCTTGCATGTCTCCAGATTGCTTTGTATGACCTTAGCCTCCTACTTCTATCTTTGCAAGAATTTGATACTCAGAGGTTGTTAAGATTTGACATTGCAGTAAATGATTCTGAAAGAGCACTGGCATTTCACAGCAAAACCTATCAATTTCGGAAAAGCTTCAAGCTTTATCTGTCAGATCATGGTGATGAAGGGTTGAAACAACTTTTTGACCCCAATGTTACTAGCATTGTCAAGAGAACTGAGAATCTCATTTTACGTCTTTCTGAATCATCATGCTTGAGGAATCTTGTGCCTGACTTGGGTGAAAACGGGTTCATCAATTTGAAAAAGCTTTATCTAGACCGTGGACAATATGAATGCCTTATTTATTCTACTGCCAACCTTGTTGCCCGACATGTTTTTGAAAATTTGGTGTCCATGGAGTTACTAAGGTTGGAGTTGAAAGAAATATGTAAGGGATTTCTTCCACCTGGGTGCTTCAGTCAACTTCAAGAGGTGAGATTTTTTAGAATAAGTGCTTTAGAGTGCTTGTGGAAGGGACCGGTCGAATCTCCGTCGCTTTGCAACCTCAGATCTATTGAAGTACAAGATTGTGCTCAAATTACAACTCTCTTCTCACAATCAGCACTGAAATGTCTGGTGAAACTCCAAAAGATAGGCGTATTTAGTTGTGAAAATTTGGAGAGAATTGTTCTGAGGGAGGAAAGTCTGACAGAGGAGGTGCTTGAGCTACCCCAACTCAAAGCGTTAACCTTACGCTTTACAAAATTTATTGGTTTTGGCCCTGAAGATGATAAAGCTGTGGCTTTCTTTGACCAGGTCTGTCTTCTCTCTCTCTCTCTCTTAGTTTGTGAAATTATATGATATACTTAATATAGTTGAATTCAGGTGAACACCGAAAACACACTTGAATATGCACTTTCTTTCTCAATATGTTAATTATATTTTCAAAATTAATAATGTTTCATCAGTTAATGTGATGCGGAATTTCTAATGTTGACTGCTGTAAAGGTAAAACTAATGTTCCAAATTGACCTGTTTGTACGATTCATATTAATTAATGTCAGTCAATTCACATACAGATGTACTGACTATTAAATTGTGGTGGAAGTGAATTTGAAGGTTGTATGTAACTAACTAGTACCACTCCCTAGTGTTTGTTACAATTATTCATGGTAGTTATTAGTGATTATTTAATTGTAATAAAGACAGCTTGTGACGATTTAAGGTTAGATGTGATAAACTAATTCGGATACTCTTCAGCCGATGAAGCCCCCAAACAAAAAACAAAAAAAAAAGGTTAAAAAACAGTAATTAAAAGAAAAAAAAATAGGGTTGTTTGTTGTAGTACTAGTAATTAAAAGTCTAGTGATGATGAATAAAAATAGGGTAATAAAAATATTGACAACAATAATTTTGGTGTTCCAGTGACGTGTTGGTGTGTCTGTCACGTCATCAAGCGTAACAAATAGATTGCTAGCAGCTGGATGGATCCGAACACTACTGTAACTGCACGTTGCATTTTGCATTATGGGCCTAAGTTTGCCAAACTTTTCAGGTTTCACTCCCCCGCCTGGAAGTACTAGAGATTAATAATCCTGGTGATGGCCCCGAACAACTAATAGGAGGGAAAATGCCTAGTGGGTCCCTCGACAACTTAAAATCTGTGCAACTTTGGGAATGTCGCTCTATCCGATGCATTGCCAAAGGTGATACAGTTACATTATTACAAAACTTGCAAGCACTTCTCATGTGGAATTGTCATGGGATGGAATCATTTGTCAACTTTGAGGGTCTAAAAGTTCATAATACTCCATCAGAAAAGGCATTTGAAATTCTTCCCAAACTAGAGTCACTGCACTTGTGTGGCTGTGCAAGCTTCATCTCTATTTGGAGGAATTTTCCTGAAGGGGTTCGAGTATTCCAAAACTTGAGAAGTCTAAAAGTAGTAAACTGCACTTTATATTGTTTGTTTTATCCTCCTTGCATGGCTAACATGCTCATAAGTCTTGAGGCACTTGAAGTTTCTGTGTGCTCAAAAATGTGTGAAGTTATAGGTGAGGAAGATGAAGAGATCAGCCAAGAAGATAATACTCGGCATCATGATGTTGGAAAACGTAGAGAAATTGCACTGGAAAGAACTAGCAAGGAGTTCGTGTTTCCTAGATTAAGTTTTTTGCGGTTGGCATTCCTTGAGAATCTTCGAAACTTCGGTGGTAGTCACCGGGAGGATTATGAGTTCAAATTTCCCCTACTCACTAACTTGATCATAGAGAGTTGCCCAATGTTGAAGAAATTCTGTTCCGGAAATTTGGATGCACCGTTGCTTAAGAAAATCCAAACAACGTCGAGAGATGTAGAGAATTTTGAAGCTCCCGTGGATTTAAAGGTACTAATATCCTAACTCTATTTTCAACCAATCCTTTTAATTTTGTCTCACTTAACTAGACTTATTTCCCTAAGGGTCGAGAATGTATATTTTGAATAATTATTGCTGAGCATATTATATTTTACAGGATCGAAAGATTTGTAAAATTACAGCGTATAATAAGGTATAATAAGGTACGTGCCTTTTTATATGCTTACAAACTTTATCTTTTCCCTTTCTTTATAATTACAAGCCGCAATATGTATACTTTTGATCTATATGAATAAATCAATGAACGGTATTACATGATTATGGAATATCATTGATTACAAAGCTATACGAACTCTCACGGAATTTTCCATTTGGATGTTGAGGTAAACACCATTCTATATGCTTACAAACTTTATGTTTTTCCTTTCTTCTAATTTTGTCTTTACGTTTTTTTTTTTCATTTTTTTTGAGGTGAATGGAACTTTTGATCTTCTATTAATCAATCAGATTCTATTCTCATGTAGCATTATTCATTGATTCTTACTATCTATGAACTATACTTCTATATTGAGTTTGTATTGTAGGTTTTCTTATCAACTTTTTTTAATCTAAACATTACTATTTCAGAGTAAAAGATGTTAAATCTTGTTTCTGTTTTGGTTTTGCTTATATTTCTTGCGATGTATGCATTTTTATGAATTATTCTTCTTTTCATTTTTTTGAAAATAATTTCCACTGTGAAAAATTACAGCCTTTATATCTCAGCTTTCAAAGCTCCAATCTCTTCAAAGATATAAAGTTGAATGTTCCATGTAGGAATCAGGGGGAAAAAAATCCAGAGTAGAGAAAGCGAAAAATAAACTGGAGCTACACAAACCTGGTGTCAAATTGATGTGGGAACTCCAATGTATTATACCATCTATATTTGTTTTGGACATTATGACAGAGTTATAATATTCATGCCTCTGTTTTCTGTCACAGAATGTTGTGGGAACCATCAAGTTGATCGAATAATGTGGTCTAGTTACCACAGTCTTGACTGAACTGGTGGATTGGGCTATCAGATATGGATGGAGATCTTAACACACATGGTTAATACTATAAGTGTGGAACTTATATAAGTTTTGTGTGCTTGCTTTTGTCATTGATATTCAAATAATAAGCATATTGTATGTATGTAATGTATCATGACTATCAAATAATAAATGCATTGTATGTATCATATCATGGACTTTAAACAAAAAGAATGAAGCTTTTTTTTCCTGTGGATCTAAAGGTACATACATACATCCTAATTCTCCTGACAATTCTTTTTTGGATGATCGGTGAGGCTAAGATCATTGTAATCTTCCTTGAACATTCTGATGAATGTCTTGGCTCCCATCATGATTAGTCTCTCTACCATAAAGAGTTGATATTTGTTTTCAATTACTGGATTCAAGATGCTGCTGCAGTTTGATGAGTATGCCAAGTTGTACACAGTGCAATCCATCCATGTTGAACTCTTCTTGTTCAATCTATGCAACAAAATTACAGAAGTCGTGAAGACAATAAAAATCAAACACTAGTTGAACAACATAAAATTTTTACTAGATCTAAACAACATAGCGAGGATTGCTAGATCTCTTCGTGAGAAACTTGGAGCTTGAGATATATCAGATAGGTGATATAGAGAAAAATAAGGAAAACAAGGATGGGAAATTAATCTTACCATATGTATTTATTTACAGTGTAGTCGCACAGTCATATTCAAATAAAAAAAAAAACCAAATATGGCTGATTTAGCACAAACCGTAAATTTGGTTGAGAAGAACTCCAAGATCAAACGCACTCCATTAATTGTAAACCACACAAACAAATACAAAGAAGAAAGGACAATTTTCTAGTCTTCCAACCCATATGATGTCCTGATCAGGAAATGTTAAACCAAACAGGAAAGATTAACATTACTAAATCACTTACAATACAGTCAAAGGAGTATTTGTACATTAGATAACCATGAGAAAAGACACAAAAGGGTAATGATACTTTTCCTGAGTAGCTTAGCACAACCAAGCTACAATTCAAGAGGAAAAATTTTCCACCTAAAAAGTGACTCCTGGCAGAAAGAAAATTGACACAAGGAACGGTATTAGAACTCATAAAACTACCAAGGCAAAAAAATTTATCTAAATATTTGACAAGTAAAAGGCCTTTTTCTTTTTCTTTTCTTTTTTTTCAAGGGGGGTTTGCAAAGGATATACAAAATTTTGATCTACTGTTACTCCCAAGATGACAATCATATAAAGTTCAGAAGGATCAGAGTGGAAGGTAATATACCTTGAGGCAAGATGGGCAAGATGGTCCTCTCATTTGAAGCAATAAAAAAGGTTTGTTCTGTGGGACCCATTTTGCAATTCTGCAGGAAATAAATTCTTGACGGGTATCCCCATCAAGATAAGGATACCAAGACCGATCAATGCCGAACCTATCCTTATGAGTTTTCAATTTATCACCTCATCTGACATGGATAGCATCACAATCACCAGGAAGCACCTTAATCTGTACAAATAACAATGGGAAACCTCACCAATCATATTAAATGTCAATCACTTAAAAACAGAAAATTTTAAAGCAAAGCAATGTTATAACTGACTGCAATAGAACACTAGCCATTCGAAAGCATCAATGATGTCATATTAGAGCTTTTGGCTCACATAAAGAAGGTATTGAAACAGGTGCCCACATATGGATGACATTTGACCACAATTAGGCAAAGTGACAGATGAACCAAACATGCGTATGAAACTTCTCTAAATACATGTAGAACACAAAGGTACACCCAAAACTTTTTTTGGTACACACTCTTGACTCTCCAACTGTAAATGCAACACCAACCAATGATCAGCACCTCTGACAAAAATGGTTTGGGGCATACACAAACAGCTAGCAGAAAAGAATGGTTCTGAAACAAAAAGAAACTCACTGTCATATTTGAACACCAAGGTTCATTCTCAGATCTCCTATCAAATATTCAAGCCCTACACTGTGCACCAAAATTATAATCAACCAACCAACCAAAGGAGCCCACTAATAAAGCATGCAGCAGCAGTGAAATGGCAAGCCTTCTTGTACAAATTTCAAGTGTAACTCACAAGCACAATACAGTCTCTCTGTGTGGTGAATTATCACCCTCATCTATATGATTAAGCCATATAAAAGAAAGAAATTACTTATCAAGGACTCTCACTTGCCCCTTGACATGTATGCTGGACTTCTTTCAACGCAAAGAGCACGTGACGCACCTATTACGAGTGGTGCCAAACATTAACAGAGAACCTGTGCTTACCCTGACACTAGTGTTCATTTACATATGTAGAAGCTTCAACTGTCAGACAGGAAAAGGAAATATTATTTTTTCTAAAAAAAATTAAAAGTTCACAACTTGTTTACCAAAAGTGACAATGCACCTTACAACTAATTGCAGTAGTCAAGCTTTTATGACATTAATGTTTACCCTGCCAGGGAGTGGTGAATGGTAGAAATAATCAGTCTTCTTAAAGTCCCATCACCAAAATGACTACAAAAGGGGAACATATTTCAAACTTCTTGTAGAAGCACCAACCAGAAATCTTCCAATGGGAATAGCAACTTTACGTATCATTAAGATATCATGACCAGTTTTTCCAAACAAGATCCACAGTATTCTCAACATCAAGTTTACTACAAGCCCGGGTTCTACTCTTTTCAATAATCCAAACTATGATAGTCAACTCAAGAAAGCAACGATACATTTGCAGTGTGCAAATAATGTAACGAGCATATAAATTTTGGCTACCAAACATAAGGACAACTTATCGACTATCTTCCCCATAATACTGAGCAAAACACATTTATGCAAGGACATTATTATGTGTCACATATATGGCAAGACCATTGTGTTCCCATATTTGACAGAACCTTTTTTCTTTCCTCTTTTTTTTTTTTGATTTGTTTTGTTTAGTTTTGTTTCTGTCTGTTCTTTTCCTCTTCAGCTATAGGAGAGGAAGGAAAGGGGAAAACTCATGGCAATAATTCCCCGTATCAAAAAAGTTCACACCATATATAGCACCTTCAAGAGATCATCAACAGAAATATATGCAATGCTCCTATCATGTCCAAATTAGATTAGCAAGAACATGGAAAAATAAGGTTGTGTTTGGATTGCATTTTCCGTCATTTTTCATGGAAAAATTACTGTAGCGATTTGATATATGTGAGGGAAAAAGGTAATAGGGAAATGTGATCACGGAAAACGATAATATTTTCCGACGAAAACCTTCAATCCAAGCAAAGCCTAAATTGCCACATTGTAATTGTACATTTACAAAAATGACCAAAATCAACTTAGAGTACATAATGGATATAATAGTGTGTTTGGATAGTAGATTATTTGGGATAATTTTTTGAAAAACTACTGTAGCACTTTTTTGATGTGATTTATGTGAGATAAAAAGGTGGTTGAAAAATGTGTTGATGATGCAAGAAAATAAATTTTGGCAAATAATTCACTATCCAAATAAACCATATATTATAATGCATCAAATTTAAAAATCAAGAATGGCTAACATACAGAGTTTGAAAGTTGGAACAACTCTTAATTTCTTGATGGGCTCTTTGAAGACCTTCAAAATCAAAAATCAACCGATCGACATTTTTTACATCCACTTTTAGACAATAATGAAGTTAGTTTTCAGCCTAAATGTAAGCTTGTAATTAAGCTTACTTACACAATTTACAAGAACCAATGAAGGCAGCGCTCTCAGACAATTAAGAGACTCCAATTAGTTAGTAGACTCTGAACGAGTATTAGTTGATATAAAACTTGTCATAAACAATTAAAGTACCAAGAGGGCTAGAATTAGACCAAAAAAGACTTCTTGATTATTTAACTAACCCGATGGTGGGAATTTTTCCAAAGCAACCTGAATTGCTTCAGTCTAAAGCTCACATTTAAAGAGAAGTTTATTCTTCTTTATCTACAAGCCACCTGACTCTCAGGTTAGAGCCAAGAAGTGGTCCGATTTTTACATCATAGGCAGCTATAGTGCAAACTTTAGAATCATGTCATTCCAAGGTCTAAAGCTCGCACTGTGTACTTGAGACCACGAAACAAGACCCCAAAACAACTCAACAAATGATTAGAAAAGTATATTACAAATAAAAGAAGGAAAAAAAGAAAAACTTAAAACTCCAGAATATAGCCTCCACTTAATTATGTTTTAGCCTGTTGCTAAACTTAAGTATCATAAACATGAGTGGGTAAGGTCCTGCTTTGTCAAACACTTGAAAACATTACCATGATAAGTGGGTAAGTTAAAAACAAAATAGCAAGGCAAACTTTACCAATTGCATGGGCATAAACCAGAAAAGATGGTATGCTAATAAGAAGAGTGTTATCTGCAAACAAGTTAAATTTCTAGGACAAGGGAAAGTCCCACAGCACAATAATTCGTGTTTCAACGGTCACTGATAATAATGACAGGAAACAGAAAATGGAACAAAATACTGCATATAGCACCATGAACCAACCTTTTCTGCTCCAATCTTCGACTTCATGCCAGCCACTAAAGGAAGAAAATAATATGACGAGAATAGCACTACGGTTATTCTGATCCTTGCACTTCATGAACTTGAATGATTACCATGATTAATACCTACAAGAAATTTATCAAGATTCAAAAAACTAAGTACATTGAGCTTCACAAAGAAATTTTTGCAATGAAATTGTAATCCTCATTGAACCTAAACTTAGAGGTAGAAAGGGAATGACCAAACCAAGCACCATTCAACAAGTTAAAGGGCTAAAAATTAACCCAAAAACAATATTAAAAGAGCCTTCAACATTATGTAACAAAATCCTAAAGATTGATCATTCTTAAACAAATAATTGAATGCAAGAAGGATGGAGAATGTTTAGAACAAAGCAAAACAAAAGGCAGTACAGAAGTGAAATTACCATGACAGAGACATTGCTGTTCGATTTACGAGTAAAATATTCGAATACAAACTTTTTGATCTGAGGTCCTCCCGGCCACATTGGCAGTCCCTCAGGATTCCAATTTCTTGCTTGTCAATAGCACCCGATTCCACTGTTATTAGCCATTTCTGATATGAGATCAAGATAATACAAGGAATACATTGAGCAAGAGCTAGCTGCCCACCTAACAAATAAAATTAAAAAATGTAGATTAATCATTAAATGGCCACTATTTACTGACGTATGTTATCAGGCACTTAAGGAAAATACAAATGGAATAAAATAAACAAAACTCACAAAAATTTTCAGCTGCATCAATTTGTTTTACTCTTTGTTGTTTCATTTTTGTTTTAAAAGCATATGTAAGCAATTAGTGATACTGGAAAACTCGACATCTTGCATCTTTTGGTTCAAACAAGTAGCACCTGGAACAACTTCTGTCTTACCTTTTTTTCTTATATTTTTTTTTTTTCCTTTGAGTGCAAGAGGCCAGAGTTTGCAGTGATGCTAAATGCTAGTCTTCACCAGAACAGAACTTTGTTCTGAACTGGCATCAATTGACTGGTGAAGAATCCCTTTCTTGTTGTGTATTGGATTGATGCACATTCTAGAGGAATTACAAAGGTTCTTAAACATATAAAAGGGGCAAAACACAGGAATGAGTAGGCTTTTTTTTCTTTGCAAAATTTTGGTCTAAGAAAGGAACAAAAACTTGGAATGCTAAGACCACCAATTGTCAAAACAAATGGTTTTCTTGTGCTTGAGCGAGCAAATAGAGTCAAAGAGGCCATGAAGTGGAAGGTCCACGAAGCCTGAAATCCAGTAGCACCAAAGCATAAAGCTAGCTGCTGCAAGTCTTTTAAAGATTACATCCATAAAGACAGACTTCCAACTGAATGTGGAAACAGGTCCTCCAAGTGCAAGACACTAAGAAGAATGGAAAGTCTTAAAATGCTGAATTTTGCCAGGGTAAGCTAAAATCTCGGAAGTCAAAATGCAGAACGTGCAGGTGTTTTTGTCATAATTGTAGATCAAGTCCAGCTAAAATTTTCATTAATATGTAACTAAAGTTGCAAGCTACCACAGCTCACCATGTTCTGGTTTATCTCTGTATGCTAAATTTCATCAGCTAACCTCATAATCTTGCAAAACCTCAAATAATATTTTAAATCATAAAACAACATTCAAGGAATGCAGTGTGAACTTGTGTCACCCATAATTAGTACTCTAAAACTCTCCTCTTCAATTACAAGTTCCCGTCTTTCCCAACAAATCCCTAGAGGATTATGGGACTAACAGTAAATTCAAATCCAATAATACATACTCAGGTGAAAGCAATATTCTTCTACTCCCCTAGGCACAGAATTCAATTGAAGGCACTTAAATCTCCATTGCAATTTTCAGACATCACCCTCTTTCCAAATGATAAAATCTATAACTTTCTCAATCAAATTCGCTCAGAAAAAGGGGGAAAGGAGAATAAAATGGAGGATGGACATTTCTTTTATATCAGTAATAACAACAGTACTTGCCAAGAGAAAATCAATCTATCTCAAGGTAAACTAAACCAGATTTAACAATTCACTTCTAGTTAATACCAAAAAATGATGCAGCTTTCCACTTTGTCAATACCAAACCCATCTTACAACCAATCAGAGTCACAAACGGAACACATTGTATGCCTTCTGTGTAAGCAAATTTTCTTACAATACTATTATGGTAGTACACTTGTACTTTGTGTTGCCAATGTTGTATATAACCATATCTTTCCTGATCAGTAAAATTTACAACTTTCTGAACCAAACTGAGTAACAGAAGGGGACAAAGAAACAGGAAAATCAAAGAGAGATGAACATTCTTCTATATCGATATTATATGCATTTCACTTACCTAGAAAAAACGGACCATTTTAAGACAAACTACATCATAGATAAAGAATCAGTTGTACATAACACTGCAAAAAGATGCAGATCTCTCTCTTCTTCAAAATTAGATCCATTCTATATCCAATCAAAATCACCAATAGACCCATAATAGATATAATGTATAAGCAAAATTCTTTAATCAATAACATATCGAAATTCACTTGTACTTTTGCCAATGTTGTACTTTACCAATACCTTCTATCATGAACCTTCATCCTTCCAATTGGATAATGAACCAGAAGAGATAAAAACGCAAAAATTTCAAAGCCATGAATAATCAAGAATATTCCTCTCATTCTCCTTATAGTAACGGATCAGCCAACTCTCCTCTCCCCTCTCAAATTTTTAACACATCCAATCAAAATCATCAGCAAATCCAGTAATATACATGCTATACGACCAAAACTCTTCCTCTATTACCATTATAGCATCTCTCTTGTACACTGCTGACAAGATTGTACTTTGATATATCATGCACAATAAAGCTCCATATTTTACAGCCAAAACCCCTCCAAAACGAGAATTAACATAGTAAAGTAGCAAAAGAACAAAAACCCACTAGTCCAACCATTCATATAATCAAGATTATTTTGTTTTCTCTTTTTGTATTTTTACCCCCAAAAAAAGGTATTTACCTCTGAAGATACATTATTGCTTCCTCAAGAGCACGCCTGAGGCTGGATTGCTGGTGGGCAAGACCTTCACAAGACTTGCAGTGCTTCCCAGGACAGTCAATTCTGTTGCCCCAATACACGTACTTCTCAGAATCTCTATGATTCTTAGCATTTTTGCTTTGCATACTTGTTCCTGTGGTGGAATAAAAGAATCCTTTTGTGGAAAAGAAAGAAGATGCAAGGTAGAAAACAGCAATGCAGCCAATCGTAAGAATGACAAGAATAGAAGATCTGGGTACCGCTAGTGATTTGTCCAAATATTTTTCATTGAGGTTTCTTCAATTTTAGTCATGTATTTTTTTTCCAAAAATTCGTATTACCAATTATTATCCTTTTTTTTTAAATATACAAATTATTACCTATTTGCGTTATAGTTTTCAAAGAAAATTTTGTTTTCTATGAAACATTTTTCAATCACTTTTTACTTTACATATATCAGAATACATTTCTCAATCACATTTTATTTTATATGTATCAAATTATTACCAAATATTTTTCTATAAAATTTTCAAAAAAATCAAGTCAAATGGTCTTTTAACCCAAAGTACACTTACCTTTTGTTATTTATGAGTCATGACATCCAAAACCCACAATCGAAAATAATGGAATAACTACTAGCCAAATTACATTCTATTTATAATATATTTTTCTCAAATGAAATTTCTCCAAGTTATGGAAACAATTGGATTCTAGCCTTTGAATAGCAAAGTGTTCATATATAAATAAAAAAATGCCAATTTAATTCTTGTAAGTTAGACAATCTAACATTTAACCCCTTGTAGCTTTTAAATTTTAGCGTCGATTGGGAGATTTGGCTCCATTAAATTCTCTCGCCATTTTTATAATGCACATTTAGATACATGATACGTGTTTTCAATTGCTAATAAGAGACATTATTATTTTAAATTTGACTAATTATAATCCTTTATTAATAAACAAAGACACATGTTATACATCCAAATATGCATTGCGAAAAATGGAGAAAGAATCCACGAGAAAAGAGCCAAATTTTCAGTTGGAGGATTTTGACTCCCCTCCAATGGATTCTCTATCCATTTCCTACAATGCACATCTAGGTGCATAACACGTGTCTTTATTTATTAACAAAGGTTAGGATTAGTTAAATTTAAAAGGATCATATCATTTTATTTATTAACAAGGATTAGAATTAGTCAAATTTAAAATAAAAATCTTCTAATTCTAATCTTCATTTATTAGGAAAGAAGATTTTTCTTTTGAATTTGACTAATTCTAATCCTTGTTAATAAATGAAATGATATGATCCTTTTAAATTTGACTAAACCTAACCTTTGTTAATAAATAAAGACACGTGTCACACATCTAGGTGTGCATTGTGAAAAATTGAGAGAGAATCTACTAGATAGGAGCCAAGCCGTCGGTTGGAAGATTTAGCTCCTCTTCAATGGATTCTTTTTCCATTTCCTATAATGTACATCTAGATGCATGACATGTGTCTTTATTTATTAGAAAAGGACATGATCATTTTAAATTTGATTAACATAACCCTTGTTAATAAATAAAGACATAGTGTCATACATCCAAATGTGCATTGCAATAAATGGAGAGAGAATCCAATGGAAAAGAGCCAAAGCCGCTGGATAGCTGTACTTACAAAAAACACATGTACCTAAAATACACATTTATAATAAACACCTCATAGAATATTACTAAAAACACCCAAAAACATCTAAAAATATCAAAAAATTACTAAAAAAAACAAAAAAAAAAGAGAGCAAAATACATATCAACACACACACCTCATCATCATCACTCCTCCCCTCTCCACCATTATATTCCTTTCCTATTAGGAACCTCTATTGAGCCAATAGCCCTATTGTCCATCACCTATCCCCACCTTCATTGCAACTTCTCCCATCCATCCTCCTTTTCTTGCTCATCAACCCCCTAACTTCTATGATGGAGAGGAAGGAGGTTTGGCGATAAGAGAAAGGGGATAGGGGTTTGACAATGGAAAGGAATGGCTGGTGGGGGAAAGGAAAGGAGTGAATAGAGAGAGGACCTCATGGTCAGGGGTGAGAGAGGGAAAGAAGATGAGGACAGAGAAGGGATGGCAAGTCCCAAGGGAAAGAGAGGTATTCCAAAAATATCTCAAAAACTCTAAAAACAACTTAAAGCCTCACATCTACAAAGTTTTTAAAAACATATTATTATCATTATCATTATCATCATTATTGTTATAAAAGTTATCATGTGTTTTGGTACCTTTGAATGTTTGCATTTTTATGATCTTAGTTTTTGTTATCCTAATTGTGCCCTTACTAATTGATGATTAATGTTCTATATTCCACTCTTATAATTTATGATGATTTAAATTCATTCTAGAAAATATTGGTTGATGAGAAGACAAAACATTAATTGATGATTATGTTCACTATATTGCGTCATACCATTTTAATTTATAAAGAAAAATCTCCTTAAACTTGTAAACACAAAATGAGTTGAGAAATGTTCAGCAAATAGATGAATTATATTAGTTGTATCCATCCAATTCAAACAAAAGGGAAGAATTTTGTATGTCACACCCAATGTGACGATTTTACTTTAGAACAATGAATCCTTGTTAGTTAGAAGTATAAGAAAAAAAATTGGTTTTAGTTTTTATGATTCCAAAATTACTATTTTCTTCAATAATAAAAAACATTTTATTGCATTTCAATAATAATCAATATCAATTAATATGATTCATGAATACGGTTACAGCGATGAAACGTCCCTTTGAGTGATGGCGTATAAAAACTCAAATACTCATGTTAAAAGATAGTCTTATAACTGAAATAGCACTATACATCATTTACAAGTCAATATTAATCGTAAACAAAAGAAAAAAAAAGAAACACTAAAAAAAGACCAAAACTAAAAGAAAAAAAATAATATTACATAAAGAATGATAAATGTTACCCAAAAAAATTGCAAAATTCAATTCAGTTGTCATAAAAGAGAACATTAAGATCACCCAAATCGAGCAAAAATATAAAAAATAAATATAGATGTAAATGTAGATACTTTTTCACTGGGAAAAATTCACTTTTCGTTTTCAAACTTTGAGTTAGAGACACATTTCATCCTCAAATTTTTAGACGCATCACATTTAGTAAATAAATTAATTATTTTGGGCCACATTTAATCCAAAAATGGTAAAATATTCAATTTGGATGGAGAAAACTGATGTGGCGTTGATTTTGACTGAAAATTTTTTTTTTACTTAACGGCCACGCGCCAAACACGTGACTTTCTCTATACAAATTAAGCAATTTACCATTTTTGGACTAAATGTGGCAAAAAATAATTAATTCATGTACTAAATGTGGTGCATCAAAAAGTTTGGGAATGAAATGTGTCCTTAACTCAAAGTTTAGGGACGAAAAGTGGATTTTTTCCCTTTTTCACCAATAGTACCAGCTGTCTCAGTCAGATTAAAGTGTTTGTGTAATTGGTTTTAGTTTTCAATGATGTCCAAAGTAGTCTACATAAAATGACACAAAGAATGACAAAAAGTGACAAAACGTTGAAAAATTCAACTCGAATGATGGATGTTTTGATACCGAAAGTATCAATAGTCTTAGATTACAGTGTTTGTAAAATCTAGTCTTAGTTTTTAGTGATGGCTTAAGTACTCTCTTCTCGAATAATGTTCATGCACTTTTCATCCTGGGTGAGTAACCAATTTCATCCTCAAATTTTCAACAAGAACACATTTAATCCTCAAACATTATCAATTTTGGTTAATTTAGGACAATTGACAGAAAACTCTTGAAACTGGATAGAAAGTAGTCACGTGAGAAGCGTACTCCGTTAGTTTAATTTATTGCAGCCAATAAAATGGGGAAAACTGTCTTTTTTTTTTTATTCGTGTCTCCTTCTTTCTTGAGTATATGCTCTATTTTTTCTAGCCCTAAGTTTTGCAGGCAAAGTTTCATCATGCTCAATACCTATTATTCTACTTGTAATAGCGAAGGCCATGGAGAACCTAGAGTGCTAAAATAAGAAGAAGAAGTTCTGCTTCTTCAATTTCATCAACACGTGTCTGTAATTGTGGATTGAGGACAAAACTAACAACTTGTTAGCAGGGCAACATTTTGAAAGAAGATTTCTTAGTTGTTCTTTGTGGCCAGTAAGAACTCATTGTACTATTGACACACCAGTAAAACTTTGATTTTAACAAATTTTTGAATTATGTTTTATTAGACTCGACAGGTGCAAGTATTTTGATAGGTTGATGAGGAAATTGGTCCAAGAGGAAGGGTACTTATACCTGGTTTGCCAAAAAGGGTGAATAAGTTGGAAGAAATAGTTGAAAAGATACGAAAGAGGGAGAAAATTTTCATCATCATTATTGTGGTCCTAATGGTGTTGTTGGCTTTGAGTTAGAGGAGAACAAGCAAAGCAAATGGAAAGTGGGGCAAGCTGTTGCTAAGTCTAGTAAGAAATGTTGCTAAATTTGCCAGACTGAGATTGTATTTTGTGGAAACAAATGTTTTGCTAGAATGCTAGTTCGATAATCCTTTGTTTGTAAGAGGTAGGATTTAGGATAAACGTAGACTAAAGTAGCAGCAGAGAAGTATGAAAACCAGCTGTTGATTGATCAATTATGTACATTTTACGTATGGAAGTGGACATTTTCTGTTTGTAAGGAAGCTATTTTGTGTATGAAAACTTGGTGAAATCTCAATTTTGTCATATGATTCTGGTCACATAATTTGTTCCCAATTTCGTACAATTGCAATCTCAATTCTGATAATAGTTACACGTATATATTCTTAATGAGTTGTATCCTATTGAGTTGGGGACCATAAACAAAAGTAAATCCAAAGTCAATAATGAGCTAATCCCTATTTTACATATAGTAGTGTTCAACATGATTACAATGAGATCCCTATTGTGGGGGTGACCGATCATTTAATTCCTTCTTTTGTAAGGACATTTTTCTTCAATGGGGGTTCTACATGGATCCACTTTCACCAATCTTCTAGCTAGTAGCTAGCCGATTGTCCGATTGATGTCAGTGAGAATATTGGAAAAGTTCTTCATTGTTAAAAAAAGACAAAAGAATTAAAAAGAAGACAATTTTTTTCTTTTTTGTTGGCTGCAATAAATTACACTAAAGGAGCATGCGTCTCATGTGACTACTTTCCATCCAATTTCAAGAGTTTTCTGTCAATTGTCCTAAATTGACCAAAATTGACAATGATTAAGGACTAAATGTGCTATTGCTGAAACTTTGAGG